TTGTTGAAACTGCTGCTCTGAACGGACATGTCGCACGTCCTGTCCCTGGTCGCTCCTCGGCCTGTGGCGACTATCTAGAATCAGGCCTGCCTTCTTGCGCTGAAGATCTGGCAGCTAAGGGGAGGCTGTGTGGGTGAGATTGACACCACGCGGGAAATGTGCTGTATCAGTCTAGAAATACAAGTGTGCCCTTTGGGACTCCAAACCCCCTTTAAAGTTGGATTTTAACAAGCTCCATAGAGAACGTACATGTGGTGAATGAGTCCATGGGAAACGCAGCTGCTCAGCATGTGAAAGTCAGCTCGTGTTTCAGAGTGGACCTGAGGATGTCAGACTCTAGCGCTAGGCTCCTCTCTCTGCCAGTCTTGTCCCTACTCATCTTCCATTTTGTGCTCTCCAGGTGCACCGAGGAAGGGTGTCCTCACAAGAAGTTTTTTCACACCCGTTTTCTCATGCGCATGAGATTGACACCAGACTGTTCAAAAATGTTGATCTCCACCTCCTCTGGCTATCTTCTGATTTTGCATGACCTGGATTTAACCAAGTCCCTAGAGGTTGGCAGCTATCCAATATTAAGAGCCAGAAGAACTACATCAAGTTCAGGTGAATTTTCTAGTAAACATCTGTATGTCGTGCCCACTTGATAGAGGTATTTGTATGCTGGTCCCTGGGAGGAATGGCTAAAAAGAATCTAACAAGGAAGTGGCTCTGACAGCGATTTTTCCTTGTTCAGGAATGACTCAGGCTTCTACTATTGGTACATGACAGGGCGCCTGGTACTGAGTGATACTAAACAGTGTGGCTATCGAAGGTATCCAATGTAAGGTCTGGTCTACGCTATAAAATGAGATCAGCCTAACTGTTGCTCACGGGTGTGATCTACCCAGATACCTAAGCAGTGTAGTTCAGCTGACCTAAGTCCCCATATAGACAGGGCTGGAGGGGTCAAACAACAAAATTCTTCCATTGGTCTAGCTGCTGCCTCTTGGGGAGATGGGTTACCTGTGCTGATGGACCAGTCCCTCCTCTTGGCATGGGTACTATCTATTCAAAAGCATTGCTAGCATTTGAAGGGCAAATAAGGGCTCATAGCCCACCAGCGAGTGAAAACGTGCTTCATGTTGGTTGTTAGCAAATTTGCTGTAATCACTAGTAAATGGAGCGGTGGTTTCTAATTGCGGTTTGCCAGTCATACAGACCCTGAATCCAAGGGGAATTTTGTTGTTCGGCTCCTTAGCAGCAGTGGCGAAGATGCTGCGGGTCAGACCCTGGACCAAGCTATAGCTGTATCTCAAGAGAGCTGCACAGGTGTGAAAGAGGGGCTGTTTCAGTTCTCAGCATCCATTATTGAAGAAGCATGAGCAGGAGAGAACCCCCGCTCCTGACTTGGATCCCAGGTTGGGTTTGTAGTACTGGCAGGCAGTTTGGTGATCAGCTGTTTGTGGTTGAAGGCCCATCTAGCACTGGCTTCATTAGCGAGACGTATTTGATCAGGGCTGTGCTGGTTCACATTCACAGGAGGTTAAAATGAAATACATACAAAGCAAAAGAGCTTATCTCATCGGTTAGATTTACATGGCTGCTACTCTGGTTTCAGACGTGACAGCTACCAGTTCATCTGGTCCTAGACCTGTGGGCTCACCGTGCCACCAGAATGATTCCAGTACGCTGTCTGAGAAACACATGTCACGGCCCTCCCAGCGAGAAGGTATGTTAAGACTAGAATAAAATGCATAGGTTCTCGTCAGTAAGTGGGGTCCAGTGACTAGCATCTGTTAAGTTTTATATACTTCCTACCTCTTGTTGCTTAGGCTGTTGTAAAAATCGTATTGGTTTTACGCAAATTCAGTTCTATATGACATCAGAGTACGGAAGGTGATGTCCGAAGTTCTGACTTTATTGCTTTCAGATTTCAAAAGAAAGACAAGACGCCTATTTGATATTTTACATTTATGCAGAACCTTTATCAGTGGTGCTCAGCAAAAAGGAACAAACCTACCTTGAGATCCAAATCCCAGGGTGAGTTTTCAAGGTTCACAATTATATAAACGATTTCCTTGTGAACTGAGCGAGGTTGATTAAGGAAGTCTCTCCTTCCAAGGTCCATTTTAGGGTTTCTGTGGAACTGTGCTCTTCTAACATATCTTGCAGTGATAACGAAAACCTGAATTCATGTGTGATTTCCTCTGTTTTTGCATATGCTTATTAATATCTGAGATGGGTTTACAGAGATTTCTTGAAAAATAAGTTGTCAGAACAAAATCAGGACCCTGGAGTTCTCACTGCTGCCCTTCAGCAAGTTACATAATCGCTGCCTCGTTGACTTATCTGTGGAATTGGTACAAATATTTCTCAGGGTGCTTAAGTGATGTTAAAGCCCTTACTCTCCTACCATGTGGTGTAGGTTTCAGATGTTTTGTTCATTTGAATGCCTTTTGCAATGTCATTTGGTTAATGGTGACACGAGATGGGAACTATTATGCAGTGATACTGCGTGACTTGTGGTTGGTATCTCCCTTCCAGGTGGATCTCCACGAAATAGTCTCGAGGTTTTAACACCAGAAGTTCCTGGAGAAAGGGACCGCGGTAACTGCATCACATCGCTGCAGCTCCATCCCAAAGGATGGGCTACTCTTCTTCGGTGCTCAAGTAACACAGATGACCAGGAGGTAAAAAAAACAAAACCACACGCGGCACATACTTAAAAACATAGCACTTAGAATGAGACGTGCCAAGTCCTAGAACTAAATATCAAATTCCGTAATTGCAGGTGAACGTGGATATTGCATCTCCGTGATTAGCAGTGGGGTTAACTTTTTCTACTTACAATGCACTGTTTTGGATTGAACTAGGAATAGGGGTACTCCTTGGTGTTCAGTTTATGCTGTTTTGGAATCTTGGCACTGGTATTTTTGGGGATGAGGGGAAATTAAACAGTAATGTGGTGAGTCATCTGCTTTGCCTAACCTCTGTGGCATGACTGTCTCCAGGAGGCTTGCAGTTTGAATGTGTGCACCATTCCATGTGTCACATGGCAAGCAGGAGAGAGCAGTGATTGGGTGGGCAGTCGGCATGTGTCCCCGAAAGACACAATCAGGGAAGAGGAGCTTGCGCTGAGACTCTCACTCTGACAGTCAGGAAGAGAGAATGTACAGTTTCTCTCAGCCACCAAGGACGTCGGGCTGTGCAACCCTGAGTAGAAGTAGGCTGCCATGATGGGCTTTTCGACAGGCAAATGTCAACAGTGAGAGCCCCTGGAGCCAGGAAAAAATGTGCTGCCCTTGGTGAGAAAGGAGAGAGAGGAGGAGTGCGTATCCAGTAATGCCAAGTGTCTGAAGTGCCAGCGTAGCGAACGCCACCTCTTGCCAGGCCTGAGACCTAGCAGGGAAGAAGCATGTCCTATCATGTCGCATCTCTGACAGGCTTTACCTGTGTGCTTCATGCAGGGTACCAGGTCACTCCACACCACAGAGCAGGAGGAACAAGCTTGTTTTTAATGCAATTTTGCCTTCAGGCTTTTGGTGGGGAAAACTACTCCTGCCAATCCAGAAGTTTGTCTACAAACGCTGAGAAGCATCAGATGATGCCATTGTTCTGAATAATTGTGCAGCCATGAAAGCCTTAGGGAGTGTTTATAAATAGCACACGATGTTTGGTTTGTGATACGGTTTGGAGCCACAATACTTGGATGAGTGTTAAAGCCTGAGGAGGGAGTGTTTATAGCAGCATGGGATGTTTGTATGCATGAGACCCAAGTATTGTGACTACAAAGCTGAGAGCCAGCAGTCTGTAGCAAAGGTGATTGCTTGCTGGTAGACACCCTGGGGCATGTCCTATTTGCCTGACAGCAGTCCCTAAATACCTAGTATTTGTCTGTTGGAAGTTATCAGGCGATCTTGTTTAATCATTGGCTTATAAAAAAGGCTTGTGTGCGCTGCTCTAAGAAATCTGATATTACACTGCTGGCTCCTTAGCAGAATATCTGTGAATCAATGAATATCCTTCCCGAGAGACTTTGGTGGTAGAAAAACTGTCCTAGACTATAGGCCAGCAGGGGGGAGCTCGATGATCTTGCCTGAGTTCCAGTATATCACAGGCCTTAAACTTTTACCTCGTTATCCCTGTGATGGGCCTGATGCAGGTCTTCCAGAGAAGCATCCAGTGTTCATAATCAGCGGCAGAACATGCTGAGCGACAGCTTCCGCCTTCTCCAGCTTTGAAATGGTGAAAGAAAAACTGTCCCTGCAGTCTCGTGGCCATCGTGGGCCATGCTGGAGCTGCCCGGGGTGGTGTGCACGGAGATGGAGGGCGCGTGCATTCGGCCATTCTAAGTGTCACAGGGCCGGTTTTGAGAACATTTGCTAGTGATAAACCAGCTTTGTTTAGCTCCATCTGACCCACTTTGCTCCAGATCAAAGCCACTCTCCCCTTCTGCAGTAATTCCTGGGAGCTTGGCAGGCTTACCCGGAGCTGGATAATGACTAGCCACTCAAGCCAATGCCGGATGCATTGTGTATTTTATCTTATGCTAACGAGTACTTTCTGAAAAGGCAGGTTCCTCGGCTTATTCACTGGGAGTAGCCTTCATGGCCCTTTTACTAGAAACTGGTTTCTTGCAGCAGGACACCAGGCTGCCTCAGACCTCTCGGTGGACAGTTACAGAAAGAGTTGGACTCCAGTATATACACTATAACTTTCAGTGCAAAATTGTTACAGGTTGCTTTTGCAGCTTTGCTTGACATCTCTCATTACATGGCACCTGGAAATCATGACCATCCATCCATGCTTAAGTCTCACTGATCTCAACTCCAATTTGTCCCACACACAAAAAAACCTCACCACCCTTAGCAGCTTAGGATGCAATTTAAAATTTGCCACTGCTGGCTAGCAGGACAAGCAGAACACAGAGCTGCCCATAATGCACATGGGCTATTACCATGCAGCCATACTCGCACGGATACAGGGTTGCCTTTCCCTATCTTTGTGGGGCAAAGAAACATCCAAAATAACAGGGTGTTTATCAGATAAGCATAATGGGGGGATGGAGAAGCTGCTTTGTGAAGTTTGGGTGGTGCAGCAGGGAGATTGGTTACAAAAGAAGGTGGCAGTACAGCCGGTGTGAGACTGCATGGACAGATTAGTGACTCAGTTCAGTCTAGTGACTTGTTCCTCTTGCCTGTTGGCCAAATATCTAAAGGTATCGGTGAACAGTCTCATAGGTGCATCAGTCGATGAATCTTGAGGATAACAGACCGAGTTGGCTTTTCAGAGGATACCAAGCTTTGTGGGGGGGACACAGCTTGGACAGGTTAAGATCTAATAATGTTTCTGTATAGTTGTGGATTTTTTTTAAAGCTAGCATCTTCCATTGTTTTCCAGTCTTACAATACTTCAGTGAATTGTTGCAAAAAGTGAAAGTTGCATTCTAAACGTAAAGACCTTTTATGTTCAATGTGTTGCACATTTGCATTTGAATAGAAGTGATTTCAGAGCACCGGTAAAAATGTTCAGTGTTTCGCATTTAATATCTGATTTATATTCACAACTTAAGCCCCACTCCTACAAAAATGTGAATACGTGCTTCACTTTTAACCACGAGTAGTGCCCTTTGAGTTTGGTGAGCTGGCTTCACCCGTACACGTGTCTTTTCAGAAACAATGCCTTAAATGTGGCTCGCAGCGACCCATTTAGTAGCCCACCAAATACAGAAGGTGTGTCCTTATCCTCTCCCTGGCTTGAACCCCAGAGTGCCGGAGTAACGAAGAACACAGCATGAATGAATGCCTTTTCCTGGGAGAAACTTCCTAGCTCACCAGCACGCTGATTAATGGTAGCTGGGCCTAAGGATAACACACTGGCAGGGATCTTCCTACAAAAGCTTTCTCTAAGGGTGTGTCCAGTTTGTGTTGAGGTTCAAACAGTGCAAAACTGACTAATTGTGATCATCGAGCCTCCCTCCTCTTGAGCGTTTCCTATGCTGGAGTAGGTGCGTCTTCTCTTCTTTACAGCAGCCCTGCATTTTACTGCCTTCTGTTCAATCCGAAGTTGCATTTTGAATGATGTATCTTAGCAACGACATATCTTCAGCACTGAGAAATACTGTGTCAATTTTACCTATTTGGATTAATTAAAGGGGGGAACTGGTTGAAGGGCTGTTGTGTTTTAACAAGCTCACAGCAGTAAGTGGACTCAGACGAGAGAGAAGCAAAGTGCTGGTTTAGTTCCTATGTCTAACTCGCTTTGCCTATGTGGAGGGTGAATTAATTTCCGGCTGCTCCTTGTGTATGTAGATGAATGTAACTTTCCTCTCTCCCCTGTCTAGTGGACTTGTGTCTATGAATTCCAAGAAGGAGCCCCGGTGCGCCCCGTCTCGCCTCGTTGTTCTCTCCGATTGACTCACTGCATTGAAGAAGCCAATGTAGGCCGGGGTTACATCAAAGAACTTTGTTTCAGCCCTGATGGTCGAATGATTTCCTCCCCGCATGGCTATGGGATCCGCTTGTTGGGATTTGACACGCAGTGTAGTGAACTTGTCGACTGTTTGCCCAAAGAAGCTGGTCCCTTGCAGGAAATCCGCTCTCTGTATTCACACAAGGATGTGGTACTGACAACCAAGTTTTCTCCAACACACTGTCAGATTGCCTCAGGGTGCCTTAGTGGACGTGTTTCTTTATATCAGCCAAAGTTCTAGGCACATCTTGCATCAACAGGAACTTCTCGGATGTTTGTTTTTATAATTACTTCAGTTTGGTTGAAGTGTGTTCTTTTAAACAACCTTGTAAATGTGGACAAGATCATACTTGCTATGGTCTGTGGCCATAGCGATGAGATGAGTACTCGGTCCAGCACTGTGTGTGCTCTGACACTACAGGTCAGCCTCTCTGCTCTGTTTTCAGCCTTCCATGCAACCCTCTGCTTCTGATGATCCGGTGCCACTGGGCTTCCGTCTTTCTGGTTGGGTTTCCCAGTAGCATTCGTTCGTCTTTCAGCATGCCGTAGGGTGGTCTGTGTGGAAGATGCCCCCCGCTGGGGCTGAGGGAGTAGTTACATCAGACAAAGCCCACACGTTTCCTGCTGGTATGATCTTTCCTTGCCACGAAGGAGCTGGACTTCCTGACGTTCTCTCACTTGGCCTCTTATTGCTGTAACTTTTCTCTACAATAATTAGGTAGCAGAGCTGTTCTCTTACATACTGGATGAGTTTTTCCACAAAGAAGTACATTTTCCTTTCACATTATGATTAACTAGAAAAATGTCACCTTTCTGTAATGTTTTGCTCTAGTTACATCTTTTAGCTTGTTTTCTTTAGTAATGCATTTATTGTGTGTATTGCCAGATGGTAAAAGGTCAGGGTGCACATGCATTTCCTCAGTAAAGTCAATAGGAAGACATTGCCATGTCGAGCTGGGAAACCAGAGTTGACCTTTGTGAAAGCATTGTTTGGGATGACTTGGCATAAAATAAAATGCCCTTGGCAGAGCAAGCTGTGTCTGAGACACAATGGTTTCCAATTGCTGCCCTTACCGTAGGAAGCTTTCCGTGTTAATAAAAAAATCTTAATCACAGTTTGTTTTGAAACATAAGAAATGCAACACTCTAAGCTTCCTTTCGTGTTACCGAGGCTGAGCGGCATAATAAAATACCCCTTTGTTCCATGCCCGGCTCTTAGCTACCACCTTTGCAAAAGAATTGACCTGCAGTGAGTGTACTGTCGTTCTGCCAAACGAAGCAGTCCTTCAGCCTATGTTGCCGGTCGGGAGCAGCAAAGTATCGACTGGCCTCGTGTGTAATTATCTGGATCTGGCCGGATTTTTCAGCAGCAAGAGGACTGCACAGGTATAACTACTCAGTTTCACTTCTCCCCAGTGCAGTTACCCCTCTGAACAGAGTTGGTCCAGTAGCAACCCCAAGAACATAATGCTCTGAATGTCATTTTTATCTGCAGACCAGACTTACCAGCATGCAAGTGAGTGTATGTGGGGTGGGGAGAGCAGATGAATGTACTTTTTCACTTTGGAAAGTGCTCCATGAAACCAGGAACTAACCTTCTTAAGGCTTGACAAGTGCACAGACTGCCAGGAAGGAGGAGATGAACCTGGCTCCTTGTAGTCTCTTGTTTGGACTGAGGAGAAAGTACCAAGCTGCTGGAGGTAGCAAACCTTTCTAGGTGGGGACCCTTGATCAGCTCCCATGTCGGTGAGGTTAAAAGGCTGCTTTAAAACCCTCAGGCCATTTCACTGTTCAGGAGTGGGACTTGACCCTACAAATTGCCATGAGAGCCTGCTCTGTACTTACCTCTGTGGCTCCAGTAAGTGAAACGCTCCCAGGACTTGGGTCTTGATTTGGACCCAATGAAATTGGGGGAGTTTTGCCTGGAGGAACTTACGTGTTGGTCCTCAGTGAGACTTGCACACCAGCAGATTGACTCTTGAACAAAAACAGCCTGGAGAATACCCCCGGCTCTGGGCCGGAAAAGAAATGCCGACCAGTTCCAATAGATGAAGCGTTGGCAGTCTGCCAGTGGGCTGGGTCACTCATGGACCGCCCCGTCGCTGTGCGTATTGGAATGGGTCAATGGAACTCACTGGCAGAAGGCTCTGGGCCCTCATGGGAAAGCGTTGGAGAAATCGATTTAGGAACCCTGCTGCTTTTGAAGTTATTTGTATGAACTCGGGTTCATTGTTGCTTTTGGAGGAAGGCTACTCCGTGCCTGCCTCCTCCTATTTGAAATATCAGATGCTGTAGCAACAGATTGTTTGAGAACTGAGTTCAAATGATTGCATATGCAGCAAATGAGACGCCGAATTCCCTCTTTCCACACAGGTTAGTCCTGAATTCTTTAACCCTTCCCTACCCGCCCCCATTTCTTCTGTATGGAATGTAGGGATGTAACAGTGTAGTTGGCTAAATGATTCACTGGTAAGCAGGTGCTTATTGGTTAATGCCGTCAACAACATGCAACACTCATCACCCCCCGGTAAATTTTTTAGCAGACCGGCCAGCAGGCTGGCTCTGTCCTGGCTTGTGCCAGGACCCAGCATCGACCCCCGCTGCGGCTCTGCGCTGCAAGCACTAAGAGCTGGCGTGGGGATTGATGCCAGTTGTGGCACAAGCCTGGCTGCACACCGACTCTTAGTGCTGGTAGTGCAGAGCTGCAGCGGGGGTAGCTGGCGGGACTGAGCGGTAGCAGTGCTACCCTTGATTGATTGATTGTGTGGTCGACAACATTTTTGCCATCTACACGATTAACGAATGACACGCTTCTTCACGTCCCTAATGAAATGACTACCTAGCAAGCTCTTGGTACAATAGCCTCGTGTTCAGAGGCGGCAGTGGCTCTTAGCCTAGCTGTACTGCCTGTTAATGGAGCAAAGTATAGGGCTATCCCTTCGTCCTCGTACAGCAACCGAAGTGCACGGCTGGTTAGGCTCCAAATGGAAGGGCATGCCTTAGGTTAGCACCTGTGTCATTGGAGTGAAAAGTGGGTCCTAGATGGGCTTTTCCTTTCGCACTGGAGCGGCCCCCGGGAGCTCAGAATTGCAAAGATGGGAGATGTACAAGTCATCCAAGTATTTATTCTTTTGGTATTAAAAGCTTGTTTGAAACTGAAATGGACTAGGCTTTGGGAGCGAAGTCATTCTCTGAGACACTCGCTGCTCTTCCAGGGGACCCTCCTGCACTAGGAAGGACCCGTTTTTCAGCAGACAGCAGAATGATCACAGCGAATGAGTTTGCTTTCTCCTCAGTGGCTCCAGTGGGAAGCACGCTGCTCTGGGCCCATTGGTTACTTGTCCTATAAAATGACATCCATAATGCAAATTATTGAAATTAAAAATCCCTTCAGCCTCCCCTCACCTCTACATCTCTCTTGTATGGTTAATAGTCTGCAACTCCAAATTAGGATTTGTGAATGGGGGATGAGTCTGCTTACTAGCTATTTTCCCGGTCTCTGCTGTCAGGGACTCCACAACATGCAATTCTGCATGACCAGGATGCTAGCTTCTGGGCTGCAACGTAGCAAAAGCTCATGTGGCGAATGTCTCATTTGCATACAGTTTTAGGTGATTAGACTTTAAAGCAGTTTACAGAGGAACGGGAATGTGCTGTTTTCTTGTTTGCGTAGCAGAACGCCTAAATCTAAACTCTACTCTTGGAATGAACGGTAGCGGGAGATTCACCGTTCATAGACCAAACGGCAAATGGGGTTCAAGTTTGTACAGCTGTTTAGTACCGAGTTAATTTAAAAACCGGAATGATGAGTTTTCTCAGCCAGGATGCACACAGGAGGAGTAATATACCCCTTCAGAATGGTGTATTCTCCAGCTTTGCTTTCTGTGGACCACTTGATAAGCAAACGTCCTTCCCAAGGACCACCTCTTCCCAGTCTACTACACCTTGGCTTGTCACGTGATCTGCTGCACAGATCAAGGGCAGATCCTTCTGAATGGCTCTGAAGTACTGTTTCCACAGGTGTATTAATTTGAAATGCAGGAAAGCACCCTGGAGTTATTGCAGCTTTTTGTAAATTCTATTAAGACTATTGAAATTCCTTGAAATGAAATGCTCACTTTGCATTTTTAAATCTATGCCTGTTGATGTGCACTGAGTATTGTTTTTAATTCTACCTCATTACGTGCTTTTTTTAAGGTTATTGCTCTGAAACATTTGACACTAATTTTTCGGAGAATTTCTAGAGAATTGTTACTGTATTGAATGGATGGGACATGTGGCCTATGACTTATAGCGACTATTTAAAATGTGCAGCGCCTGGAGGAGCCAGCTCATCACTTGGAAGAGAGAGGCCGTTGGAAAGTGCAAGGCTGATGAGAGAAGTTGCCATTTTGGGGGGTTGATCATGTTGTGTGGTGCTTTGTAGTGTATGTATAGTGTGTTGTAGGAGCAGATACATTTTTATATTAAGACCAATTCCGTCCATGTATGCTGTAAGAATGTTGCCTAACTTTTCTGATTACATTTTGCAATAAGTTGAATTAGACTGATTAGATCATTTTAGGTTGTGATTATTTAACTCCTTGCAATGATAGCTGGAAGTTTTCAGTGAAAGCTAATATATTTTACTTTAGTGTAGTTAACAGTACCTTGAAACACTTTGTTCAGTGATGCATAACTGACTAGTTATATGCCTTGCAGTTGTATCTCCAAAAAATAGTCACCATTTTTGTCTTTCTAATCACATTATCCTGCCTTATAGAATTAACGAAGTGACTTGCTGTGAGTTTTGGATTTTTTTCTAGATAGCAGAAAAGTTATACACTTGTTTTGCGTTAAATTCTGAAGGACTGACAATAACCATCCTTCCCAGTGCTATGGGAGGAGCAAAATGGGTTAACAAATAGATAAACCCAGCATTAAATATAAATTAAGGTAGTGGTTTATACCGGTCATTTCGTTTTGGTCATCTTCTTGTATTGGTATATTTCACACCCCTCAAGTACTAAGCCTATTGGTAAATTTTAAAGTATTTCTCAGAGTTAGTGATTATCCAGAGTTAGCTGGACTGTGAAATGTGCAATATGCTTTCTAAATGCATGGTTCATATTCATTAGTTACTGTAGTAAAGTATAATTCTTCCATCTTCAGCATGACTGGTAAGCAGAAGCAGATCTCCATAGGAATGTTGACTTTTTAGAAGTGTTTATGAAAACCACAACTAGTGTGTTTTGAAGTCAGTAACTCTTGTAATTGTCCAGTGACCATATTGTTGAAGTGAAGTGCATTTTTCACATATTCCACTAGAGGTCAGATTTAAATCACCAGAGCGCTGTCAGCATTTTTGGTAAGGGAAGAGGAATTACCGGAGTAGACATGAAATTTACATTTTGAACATGTACCGCTCAGTGAAAAGATCCAGGTGGCATGTCTCTATTATTTTGGGGGAGGGGAGAATGGGGGGAAGCAATGTATAGTTAGAGACACACACTAAAGGATTAAAGCCCAAAACCTGGCTTGCTTTATTGTTCATCAGAAATTTCCTAGACAAGATTCTAACTGTTTACATGGAAAATGTACAAGTGAAAACGAACTTTTCATTGATCTTACAATATTGTATTGATAGCAAAAGTGCAAACACCATTCCTTAGGGATGCCACAAATAATGCCAATACAGAAAGAGGTTTAGGTATTGCAAAACTGAATTCTTTGCTAAACAAGTTCTGTGAAATTCATGCTCTTCATAATGCAACAAATACACTTGCCAGGTGGAAAATGTAAAAGAATCCTAGTTTCCAAGCTTGTGATTATAAATACATAATTCTATACCTAGAAAGGACAATGCCTATCCGCTGTTTTCCTATAATTTGATTGGAAGGGGGTGGGAGCAATGACGTGGTACTCAACAGGGTCTCCAGCCAATTGTAGAAGTCTTTCTTTTAATACAAGAGTAAGTTGTGTATGTAGAATATTTTGAAATACTCAAGGGTTCCTAGTCAGAGTGGGTAGACTTTTAATACAATACATACCAAGTAGCAGAGCTGTTCTAAATAGACTGTACTTGCTCCTATTCAGTAACTTGTACTGTTTGTGAACAGTTTCTCTTGCTTGCAAAATAAATGAAATCTTTAATAAAGCAATTCAGTGCATTTTGAAAGGCGATAGGTGCTTTTTTTCTAAATGTTCAAAGTTGGGTTATTTCATATTTCTAATAGAACCTCATGCCCTGAGGAGCTCTGGTTCCCGTCCTAGCCACTGCTCCAACTTGAGACTCACACAATACTCCTATAACCTCTTCCTTCCCTTTGCCAGTCCTTGCACACCACACGTTAGTGGGGACAGGCTAGTCACAAGTCTAGAAAATACCCAGTGTGGTTTGGCAGAGACTTCTGCCTGTGCAGAGAAGGGAGCACTACAGATTGTGCACAGGACCAGTTGAGAGGAGAAGGGGGACTTGCTGTCTGGCGTGAGCTAGCTGCTCTGTCTGTTCACAGCCAGCCTGGCGGGGTGAGGTTTGCCTGTTAATTGCAGCTCAGCCCTTTCCCACTGCAGTGTGGTTCTCCAGTGTTTCTGGCACGGAGTGTCAGGGAGGTGGACGTGCTCTCCTGCTGCTTTCTGACCAGTCCTGCTCAAGGACTGATGTGCAGCCATTTCTCGGGCACCGAGCCAGTCCGGTCTGGCCAATGTGCGTGGCAGAGGGGCAGTGCTGGCCTATGTCAGTGGAGGTGATGTGTGGCTGACGTGGCTAGGTCCCATGGCGGTGTCATGAGGGCAGAGCTGGCAATAGGGGGTGTTGCAGGGACTGGTTCCTGGCCTAGTGTTTGTGTGGTGTGTAGTTAGTGGTGTTTGCTTCAGATTGGGGAGCTGTCTGAGAGGACCGGCTTGCTTCCCATACAGTGGAAATCATATTGATTCCTTCTCCATAGCAGTGCTGTGTCAGTTGCATACAATTTAGTCTCAGCATCAGCTTATCCATGAAGCAGTCTGAGCAGGTTTCTTACTCGAGTAGTCATAATGTTTACATCTAGCAATTGTGCTGTAGGTTATACAGTTGTCTGTGGGAATCACCCAGAAGTGAAGTAGAATAGCTAAATACCTCAGTTCATATTTCTGCCAAGTGCTATTGATTTCCCTACTGAATTTGATTGGGAACTTTTATCCGTTGCTGATGGCCTAAGTAGAGAACGGACTTGCTCTTGTGACCAGAAAAACCCCAAATAACACTTTTGGGACAAAATAGACAAATCCAGGCTTTAGCAAGATCTTCACTCTTGTTCAACTTGGTAATTTCTATAAAAGCTGAAACATCAGTTGTATTTCTATTAAGATGTCTTACTGAAAGTCTAAGGGGTTTATTTTAAAACTATTAGGGATTTTTCAACTTGGCAACTTTCATTTAATACATTCACTTCTAATCTTGATCAAGTTGCTCTTTCAAAGAATACTTAATTCAGACACATTTATGCAACTTTTCCAGCTCTCTCCAGAACTTAGTCTGCTAATTGCTTGCTCCTGAAACCACCTGTCCCTTATTTTGTCTTTGGCATCTCAGAATAAATGAGGGAAAGCTCTCAGGATGTTCTACTAATATTTGAGTGATCCCTATTGTCAATCATTCCATGGGACAGAGGGGTTTGCAAAAAGTCTGCTTACTGAAGTGATAGCTACAGCAAAAGCAAAGCAGGGCCTGGAAGCCTAAGTGACCCATTTAGAACACCTATTGTCAAAGTAGGGAGATATCACAAAAATCTGACACGATATCCATGTACACGGGGTGGGAAGAAGCGGAGCAAGTGCTCAGTTTCACTGTGGTGAGTGTAGGGGGTTCTGACCACTGCTGCTGTGTCCACGCCCAGGCTGGGGATAGGGTGCAATGGAGGGGAAGAGGGCAGGGCGGGGATCCATGAAAAGCCATTCCCCGAATCATGTGGTCTCCTATATAATATGGTATGTAATAGAAAATGTCTAAGTTATTACATTAAGAGCTTGGCATACTGCTTTTCCTCCATTTTCATGCAGAGCCCAGATGTGAATAAGTCCAGCTAGCCTTACGAGAGTCAAATGGACTTCCCCACTTTGGCAAATCTCTAAATGCAGCCCTAAGTTAATGGGCACAGTAAGCTTGCTTCTAATTTGCTGCCTGTTGACCCAACCCACAGTCTTTCCAGAGGTATCCTCCCCCCCCCGCCCCCCCCGGCTAGGATGTGGGGCTATTGTTTCTGTTGGGAGTTCTGCTCAGAAGCCTTAGTCCTGAACCAGGAGCCCCTTATGCTAGGCACTGTAAAAATAAAGAACACGCTAGTACTGCTCCAAAAAGCTTAGTGTAAGCAGCGTTCTCTTCTCCCTTTCCCGTCTGTGCGCTTTAATCCATGGCTCAGTTTTGGGTCATTTGACACTAACACTTCTAGCACAATCTAGCCGCTGTAGTTACAAGACTAAACTCATTGATAATGGGCTGTACTCTGAACTCTAGTTCTTTCCTGCCACTCCCAACCCTGCATCCAGTAGTTTGTCCCTTTTAACACTAGCACTGCATGGTGTATGTTCCTCCAACTCACTGAACAGTCTGGACCTACTTTCATACTCATTTGTTTCATTCTATCAATTACCTCTCCCTAACTTGACACGTTAAGCTTTGCCCACAGTCTTTAGTCCAGCCAATAATCCTCATATCAAAGCATGGAAATGTAATTTCAGATACTATCTACACTTTATGAATCCCATGATATCACATCATCTGCATTTCCCTTAACTGGGAATGTAATAGTATAGCTGACTAACCTATAAGCTTTTGCTTATTAGTTAATGCTATAGGCTACATGCCCCCCCCCGCCAGTAATTTTTTAGCAGGCTGGCCAGCAGCCCTGCTCAGTCCTAGCTTGTGGCTCTGTATAAGTGTATTAGGAGGCAGGCAGCACAGCTCAGTTCCAGCTTGCCCCGGGGTCCAGCAGCTCAGGAATGTAATAGTATAGCTGACTAACCTATAAGCTTTTGCTTATTAGTTAATGCTATAGGCTACATGCCCCCCCCCGCCAGTAATTTTTTAGCAGGCTGGCCAGCAGCCCTGCTCAGTCCTAGCTTGTGGCTCTGTATAAGTGTATTAGGAGGCAGGCAGCACAGCTCAGTTCCAGCTTGCCCCGGGGTCCAGCAGCTCACCTCCCATCCCTCCCCCCACCCCCACCCCCCAGGAAGAAGCTTCTGTCACCCCATGCTTCTGTATCAGCAGCAACAGCAAGAGGAGACAGGAAGACAGA